TAGATAGATAGATAGATAGATAGATAGATAGATAGATAGATAGATAGATAGATAGATAGATAGATAGATAGATAGATAGATATTTGATTTGATGCTAATATAACATTTTAGGATATACTTTTCAGGTAAATATTCCTCAGGTATTCTCTTAAAAATAAAGGTGCTTCAAAAGGTTCTTTAAGCGATGCCATAGAAGAACCATTTTTGGTTCCACAAAGAACCATTCAGTCAAAGGTTCTTTAAAGAACCATCTCTTTCTTACCTTTTTATAATCTGAAGAACCTTCTTTCGCCACAAAGAACCTTTTGTAAAACAGGAAGGTTCTTCCTATGTTAAAGGTTCTTTATGGAACCATTTAGACAAAAAGGTTCTTCTATGGCATCGCAAAGCACCTTTATTTTTAAGAGTGTAATAGTAGGGAAAAGCCCCAGTTGAAGTAGTTACGGTTCATTATAGCAAGCTTGTCTCTGTTTTTACCTCTCTAATACAACATTTACACACTGGAAAGACCTGAAACAGAATCCAACATCAAAAAGGAAAACAAAAAAAAATAGAATTCCTTTTTTTTTAAATTCACTCCTCTCTTTCATTTTCAAAGTAATCAGCCCACTATTACTGGCTCCAGAAAAGACCTCGGAAACCTGAGAGAAAGCTTGTGTTTGATCACCATTGACAGATAGAGTGTATCAAAGGAGAGATGGAAACAGAAAGGTCTGGGGAAAATAAAAAAAGTACCTCATGATTAAAAAATACATAAATATATTCACTATATATATAGTCAGTCCTGTTAAGCAGTATCAATGTAAGTGTCCCTGACTTCCTTGTCCTGTTACGAGGTGATTAGCAGCCACCATTAGATGCTCATGCAACTGTTTGATGTGTGTGTGTGTGTGTGTGTGTGTGTGTGTGAGAGAGAGAGAGAGAGAGAGAGAGAATGAAAGTGTGTGTTTAACTTAAGGTGATTTTATTGTAGTATAAGTGTTTTAGTGGAGATGAGCATTTGGACTTTGGTTATTATGGTGATTATAGTGGTTATCTCCTGCCCAAGTGTTCAGGCTTGAATAAACTCCACTGACCATAAACTTAAGCAGTTGACACCTGCATCATGGTGGCCTTGTGATGCTTCACCTGACCTGTAGAGGTCAGCAGGGAGTCAACATTTTGCTCTCTGAATCGCAGGTACCTTCTGACTAGTGATGGGAAGTCTGGTTCTTTTCCGCGAACCGGTTCTTTCGGACAGTTCGTTTCAATGAACTAGTTTTAAAAAATGGTTAATCAGTTCTTTTACGCCCTAACGTAATGACGTCATTCGCGATGACGTAATGATATCAAGTCTATCGTCCCGAGCCTGGAATGAAAATACACATTCAAATATATAAAGTCAGTAATCATAACATAACAGTCAGTTAAAACATCATAATCATGATCTGAAAAGTTTACAATTAAGTTTTGCAACTAAGCACCCAAATACCGAAACAAGCAGTGATGTGCATACCAGGATTTGGGAATGAAAATACACATTCAAATATATAAAGTCAGTAATCATAACTTCAGTCAGTTAAAACATCATAATCATGATCTGAAAAGTTTACAATTAAGTTTTGCAACTAAGCACCCAAATACCGAAACAAGCAGTGATGTGCATACCAGGATTTAAGTCTTGAAGATATAAAGTAAATTAATTAGTTGTCATCAGTGCAGAAACCATAATCCGCTTACTATACATAATCCATTGCGATTTATTTGTTATTAAATAAACTTACGTTTCGCCAGACTGCCCTTCAATCAAGTCTTCGGTTTACTCGCGCTCATAACATTAGCACAGAATCAGTTGTCCAAAAGAACTAGTTCGGTTCAGACGTGCTGTGTCAGTCATTTGGCGCTTTTCCCCTGCATGGCTCGGTACGGTTCACTTTTGGGGGGTTTTCCACTGGGTACAGTACCTGGTACCTGGTACCTGGTACTTTTTTTAGTACCACCTCGGTTGGGGTTCCAAGTGAACCGAACCATTACCAAAACATGACGTGTAAACTCTGCTGATCACGGATTGGCCGGAGAGAATGGTTACTACCTGCGTCACTGAACTTGCTACACAAACACAAAAGAACCGCTAGATTTAAATCAGCACAGCCAGCGAAGGATCGAACGCAACTGTTTTGAACAAGCGCACCTTTTTTAACAACCAAAAAGTGGCTCTTTCGTTGTCTGTTGAGGAAGTACAGATGTTCCTCTCGTTGATAGCAGAGGAGCGGATCCAGAGAGCTTGATGGGGCGAAGTTTTTCAGGAGTCGCGGCAATAGAGGCGGCGCAACTATAACGACGTGAATAATCCCACCCACTCTAAAGCGGTACTGAACTGCAGTGGAAAGCAAACCGAGCCGAACCGTGTTGTGTCGTACCGTACTGAGCCGTGCCGAGCCGAGTCGTACCACGCAGTGGAAAAGCGCCAATAGTAGGCAATCTGTTCGGTAGCTTCACGCTGAATCACACATGCGCAGTATCATCAGCTCATCGGTTCTCAAATCGGACACGTCCGAAAGAAACGGTTCTTGGTTCAGTGTACTGGTGATCCGAAAACCGATGCAATCGGTTCTTGACTGGAGAACGAACCGCTCTAACCGGCACACTGGACTCACGTTCAGTATCAGCTGCTCTACTCGTGTTCATGTT